CGCGGGCTCCGGGCTCCTGGCGAGGAGGTGCGTTGACTCCGGGGTGACGCGGGCACCACCCCCAGGCCGGACTTTTGGGGTCCGCACCTCTCTCACTAAGTCCTCTGAGTCTGCCGCGTTCACTCCAGAGGGCAGGGACGTGGCGGCGACTTTTCTCAGGCACTGCCACCGCAGTCCGGCTCCCCGAAGAGCGCGGGCATAGCCACCCCTGCTTGACAGGAGGTGCTGGGGGTGCTGCTCTCACCCGAGTGCCCCTCCCGGGGGCTTTAGGTAGCTCGTGGGTCTCAGTGAGCAGCCCCGGACACTTGCCTACAGTCAGGGCCAGGCTTTCCTAGAAAAAGCCGAGCTATAAAAAGAAGAAGAGAAAAGCCGGGAAGCGAAGCGGACAAGGGCAGCCTGCAGGTTGATCGAGGGCCTTAATCTCGGGCGCGTGAGAGCCGCTGCTTTGCGGCGCCTGTTGCGCTCTCCGACGGCCCGCAGCGTGCGCGGCGGCGGCTGCTAAAGCGCTCACCTATCGGTCTTCCCAGAGCGCGGTATTCATAGCATGTGTACTGCTGTAAAATATCCTGCGGAGTTGCCTGGGTGAGAAAAGTTACCTTGCATAATGACACAGTGAGTTTTAAAGATGTGTCTGTGTGTATGTGAATATACACATCGAATTGGCTGAGGCTAGGGAATGAGATAGATTAGGTAAACAGGTAAGGAGCCGTTTACCCTTTCTGTACTTCTTTGCCCCTTAAATGTGCGTGTGTTATTTCTATAAGTGCAAAAGGCAACGCTGTACCTAGTGCTGGAGTCTCACTGTATAAGACTCCAGTCTAATTGTATAAACTACCCTTCCTCGCTTTCTCCCTGGAGAATGTTTTCACTTTCAAGAGAAGGATGAAAGAAGAGACAAATACACAGGTCCAAATGGAGGAAGAGAAGCCAAAAGCTTTATTAAAAAGATCGGTGGGAGTCCACAGACCTGGGACACGCCTGTGAGCTGTGGACTTGTTGTGTATCTTGGTAGGAATGTGACCTAGTTTGGCCTGGGCTTTGTGTTTAGGAACCGCTGGTGCCAAAGCACAGGAGTGCACAGGTCACCCCTGTGAGGGGATATACTCTTTTCTCTGGTAACGTGTAGCCTTTAAGGGTGACAGTAGAAACAGACATTTCTGCTCATCTCTGTTCTCACTGTTTTTACCATGACTGTCCTCCTGCCCAGGTGTTTTTAACATGAGGTGTAGACAGAATTCAAGGGTTGTATGAATTTGGATGGAGAAGATTTCCATGTATAAGTCCACTAACCTTTTATCTAAATGTAGCATTTCCTTTATTTATAATTGTAGGTAATAAAGTACAGTAACCTGCATGTTTTTAAATGAAGTAAAAAGCCCTGGTTCCCTTCTTAGAGTAATTATTTTATTTTACTCTTTTTTCTTTTTGCAGTGCTGGGAATCAAACCCAGGGCCTCACGCATTGCTCAGACTAATGATTTTAAATGCATAAATTAAAATGCATATTAAAATAATCATGTTCAGTAGTTATTAAAAAACTACAATTTAAAATGCAGTAAGGTAGTACAGTACTGTATTGAGACAAGGCTGTTGCAGTGAATTAATCACCAATAGAAATAATAGATATTGCATTGCACATCACAGGTACATCAGACCTTTTGAAAAAAATCATTAAAATATCACTTCTTGGAAATTATGGTAATAATTCTAGTTACTTAATGTGTTAAAAATGAAGCACATGTATTACCACATTGCATTTTTAATTGCAGGATTAAGAATACTACTAAGAATAGCTGGTTATTTTCTGTGCCTCTGCATTTTAATTTATACATTTAAAATCATTATTCTGAGAAGGAAACCAAAAGCTTTTACTTGATATATTTAAAATCATTGTTCTGAAAGGATTGTCTCTAGGCTTTCCCACACTGCCAAAAGGATCCATGCAACAAAACAAGGTTTTGATCCCTGACCTCGGAGGAGTCGTTGATGGTGACAGAAATGTATAAATAAATACCCAGGCTGGGGAATCAGGCCCTACCACTGATTCCTTGTGTGACTAAATTGCTTCACCCTTGTTTGGGCATTTTTTTTTTTTTTTTTTTTTTTTTATTTTTTTTTTTTTTTTTTTTTTTTAGCTCTTACATTACTCTTAATTCAGGATTAGCGGCAATCAGTCCTTACAACTAGAAAAACACTAAATGCAATTTTCCTTTGATTTAAGATGTACTTAAGTAATTTTCTAGTGACCTCTACTTTGAGCTTTTCCAGCTTGTTAAATCGCTGATTTCTATTTCCCCTGTGGAGAAAGAGAGTAATGCACTTGAAGATAAATCAACAAGTAATTATTAAGCACCCATAGGATGGCAGGCTGCATTTTAGAGCCAGTCTTCTCTTTCTATTTCTTCTGTCTGCTTCTGCTACAATAGGATCAAACCCTCAGAGAAGATAACACCACAGTCAGTTTATCCTGTCTAATCTTTTTTCCTCCCAGCTTGAAGTAGACTCCCCCCAACTCGGGGTGGGGAGGGGACTAGAGTTGACTTAGTGAATGAGCTAAACCCTCTTTTGACAAGAGAAGCTTATAAGTAACTTGGCTCCCACAGTCCTGGCCTGCTCCAGTGTGAACAAAATTTGATAGTTTTCTATTTTAAAATCTCCTTGATTCAGGTTCAGACTTCTCTATTTTAGATATCATTGAGGTGTAGTTCTGACAATGCTCATAGTTTTATTGTTAACAAAAGGCTAGCATATTCAAAATGACTTGGGTTAGATGAGAGGCAGAGCTTTAGGAGCCCAGAGCAGAAGGCCTGGGAGATTACCAGGTCTACCCTCTCCAGTCTTGGAAGGGGAAACAGTTTGCCTGGATGCCCCCTGAGAATTCCTGGTTAGGTGTCATTGTTTGGCTCCTCCAGTCCATGTTTCTGTCTCCCATGTCCCCATGATCCAACAGCCAGCACAATACAGCTGCTCCTCAACCTAGGATGGGGTTGCATCCTGATAAACCCACTGTAGGCTGAAAAATATCAGAAATTGAAAATGCACTTAATACACCTAATCTAGTAAACATTGTAACTTAGCCTAGCCTAACTTCAATGTGATCAGAACACTGGTGGTTGTTTGGGCAAAATCTTTGAATACAAACCCTATTTTATAATAAAGGGTCAAATATCTCATGTAATTTTATTGAATTTATTGAAAGAGTTCTGGCATACAGCAATGTACATGGAGCTACTGACGTGGAGCTGCAAGTCAGTGTGAGGGAATTCAAGGACAGAAAATAGGACATGCAGAGGGGTGGAGTTAGCAGTGGAGAAAGTAGGAGAGGGCTCAGTGCTCAGAAGCTGAGGCCTGCTGGCAACAGACTGACAGCGGGAAGCCAGAACATCAAACTGCCTGGGGCTGGGCTTTGGTTTGTTTGCCAGTGTAGCCTAAAGGTTCCCGGCAATGATGTTAATAATCCAAGCTACCCGGAGAAAAGGGGCCACAACATCTAAGAGTTAAAGATGGCAACATAAGATTTGGCAGTAACTCTTCTGGTGTTGGAAAAGTCATCCAGAGCCACCTCCCAGAGGCCTGGGCATCTTCTGTGGAATCCTGCACATCCACTCCCACCTGGCCCAGTCTCTTCATTTTAGTCCAGTTTAATATCCCCAGTTCTGTTCCTCATACAATCAAGTGTGAAAGCCCTTTCTCACTCTGCTCATCCTCCTCCAAATTTGGCCAGCCTGGACATTTTAACTCTCGCTGAGTGAAGCACAGTCCCTCAGGTGAGGTCTACTTCTGAAAGGAGGACTATCCTATCTTCTTCAGTCTATACCTCATTTTATTCATGAAACCTGAGAGCATGGCTTTCTTTTTAAAAATCTTTGTAGGAATCTACTGTAAACTGGGGACAATGGTGCATGGTTGTAATCCCAGCACTCTGGAAAGCTGAAGCAGGAGGATTGCAAGTTTGAGTCCCACTTGGGCAACTTAGTGAGATTTTGTCTCAAAATAAAAAATATAAAAATGGGTCCTCTGAAAGGATAGGAATTGAGCCGCAGACATGAACACCTGAAACCAGACTTATTAGGGGGACAGGGTGTGGAGGACAGGGTGCCGGGCTGTCTTGAACAATGACGAGAGAAGTGAGGCAAGGGCTGGCTGGGTGAGGTTTTATGTGGGCAAGGGGTCATGGGAGGTGGGCATGGTGGAGGTAGATGTTTGCCGGCAGCCAGAGGTGAGTTTAAATCCATTGGCAGGTTTGGATTTCCCGGTAGGATGGACTAGAGGTGGGAGAGCTTTGTGGTGGGAAAGTTGGGGTCATTGTTTCCCCGGAGTGATTTTTGCCAGAAAGAGCCATTTAGGATGTGGGGTTAGGTCCATTTTATCTAGCAGGGAACTCTATCGAGGACCAGGCATGGTTGGTGCATCCCTACAATCTTGGCACTTAGAAGGTGGAGGCAGGACAATTGCTGTCATTTTGAGGCCAGCCTGGGCTACATAATGAGTTCAAGACCAACCTGAACTACAAAAGTGAGATCCTAGCTCAAAAAAGCACCCCCTCAAAAGAAAGTCGTGGTATCAGGGTGCTCACTACAAAGGCCCTGGGCTCAATCTCCAGGACCAAAAAAAAAAAAAAAAACC